CGAGCTGCCCTTAGTACGCACAGCTAGATGAAAGTAAGGTGATCAATTAGTAACAAACGTCTTGCAGAGTCTTGGCGGTTTTTGAAAACGAGAAATCTTTATCTGTATCGATGAAATTTCAATCACAATACATTTCATGGTCTCGTTAAATTTTGATCTTCACCTTATAACCTTATTAGTGAGGGAATTTCAAAAATTGGTTTTTGATGGAAAAACTTAATATATCGAAGTGTACGCGTGCTGTGCTATTATATACAGTAATCAGAAGTTAGTTTTTATCATGGTTATGGTATCTTGACACATAAAGAACCATTCTTAAAGGTTCTGAATAATCTTCCTATTCTACTTCATTTTGTCTAGCCTCTATCGAAACAATAATATATCTTGAATTGGTCTCCACTTTATAGACTTCCTTTGGAAAAAAAGTATTATTCATACTTAAATGGCTGATTATTGTTTTTAGTTAAAAATAATAATGATAATGGAAGGATTACATTATGCAGCGACTTCCACCTACTGCTTGTAGCTGTTAGATGCTCATCACTCACTCACAATAGTATTGTATTGGTTTGGTTTTCAATAGTACGATCGACCATCTGCCTTCAGCATTGCTATGTTAGAAGATGTCTCTCAGAAAATAGGAAACCTCTCTTCTTTTATAATGTAACGTCGCACATCAATGACATCTTTACTCTTCTTTTCTCAGTAGTACTTTCATAATAGCTAAAAAAAACATGAGACGGAATAAGAGGCAGAGAACCACATTACATAATGCTTTTTTTCGTTTTAAAAGAACGAGGAGAAGAATGATAACAAAAGAAAAAAGAAAAAAATGGACCGAAGAAGCATACATTTATTATCGATAGATATCGTTCCATTATGAAAGATAATGTAAGGATGATTCTAAAGCAAGAAGATCGATCAATATGTGGATCATTATACTAAATTTAAAAAAGAGAATGTGTACCGAATAAATGGTTGAAAGAGACATTACTTATGCTGTTTTTTATGAATACTTCTTCCTTTCATATTCTTTTGGGCAAAGGTATTTAGATAATAAATTCTAAAAATAAAATCTTTCTCTTTTATACCAAATCTTATATATGACTTCTATACTGCCTGACCCTAGATGTGGAAGGTTTCATAACTTAGAGTTGAGACAGTGCTTCAACTTACAAAAAATTGCCATTCGAGGTACGGTAATCTTCTTAAAAACAATTTTGCCCACCTATGCTGTATACGAAGAATAATTAAATCTTTGTGAGATTCACATCGAATTCTAGACGTTACGAATAAAGCTGATATCACACTTGCCTTTACTAAAGAGCGATATGTAGATATGGATGTACCGAGACTGAAGATACACTAACAAAGAAGGCAATTTTTCTCTAAGAGAAATCCTCAAGACTACAAGATTTTTATTTATAGGTGCTCAGTTTGACTTAATTTATATGTGCATACAACTGGACAGTTCGGTTACAATAGTAAAAGGTCGAGTCTCGGCCAACCTTGGTCAAAATTTTGTTTTTTTCAACTGTTTGACCGAGACTGGCCAAGACTTGGCATTTTACTCTCATAATTAGTCTGTGCATTCGTATGTATATATAAATTAAGTCAAGTTGAGCAACTCTAGATAAAGATCTCCTAAAGTTCTGGAAGTTCTTAGAGAAAAGTTTCCATCTTTGTCAGGGAGTCTTCAGTCTCGGTATATCCCTACATCAGTCTAGCTGAAAAGCTAAAAAACACATAAATTTTGATCGGCTCTCGGACATTCCTGGACTTGATCGGACTGTTGGTTTATGCAAAGTGTTAGATAGAGCCGAGAGGAACATTTCTTAATGAAGCTTCCCTTAAGTCTCATAGGGTATCCTCAGAGAAAAATGTTCATCCAAGTAAAGAAAACTTGTGTCACTACGTCACATAACGAAACTCAATGATATCGAGGCCGAAACACACCGAGATCGAGACAAGCCCAGACTGAGACCGAGACTGGCCGAGACCGAGACCGAGACCGAGACAGACCGAGACCGAGACGGACCGAGACCGAGACGGACCGAGACCGAGACTGACCGAGACCGAGACTGAGCCGAGACCGAGACGCACCGAGACCGAGCTCTCGGTCTCGGTACATCCCTAGTTGGTTGTGAAGAACAATATCAGTTACTTGAAAATAGCCCTAGAAACTCATATACTTTTTTTTTAATGTCATACGATTATCTTTGAGATTATAATTCATATAATTAGTCCGAGAACAAATGTCGAAAACGATTACCATCATTTCAAACATTTAATTTCATTATTTTTAAACTATTTGAAACATTATTTTCGAAAAACTATGTTTCCATTTTTAGATTCAGTTTTAATTTAACTAGATCTTTATATATGTCTTGTTAAGATCCACTTCCACTTTCCATTTATCTAATAAACAACTTCAATGTAAAGCACTAACGATTTTCTTGATTACTTACGGTCTCTAATATCGATATCCAAGTTCTCCAAATTCGACTTGGTCTTATAAATCGCCTTCTTTAACCTACTAAACAAAATATATTTTCTATGACTTAATTGAAAAACGTTCAGTCACCATTTCTTTCTGCTATTATCCGAGTTATAAAGTAGACTATTTTAAAAGCTTTAAAATTTGAAAATGTTTTACTGTAATAAAGATCATAAACTCAATCGATTTGCTAGTGAGATTATTGCATCCAAGGATTTAAAAATATTGTCAATACAGTTTGTATCTGGTGTTTCCACACAAAATGTCGACTTATACTTGTTGTTTTGGAATGACAAATAATTCTAATTTGACCATCTATAAAAATGTTTCTATACGAAAACCTCTCGATGTGCAAGTTCATATGTAATTAACTAATATACGAACTCAAAATCATTTGAAAAGCTTTCTTAAAAACTGATGTCGTAAATTTGAGTTTATTCTACAATTTCATACCCCAAAATCAGAACACTCTGGTAGCAACAGAATCTAATAATGTATTTGCAGTTTCCTTGCTAACATGTTATTCAACTAGATCGTGGACAAACTTGTCAATGTAGGTTATAAAACATAATTAATGATCATAAAGAACTACTAGATGTGACAGCATTACTTGAATCAGATGATGCAGTACTTTGAAAAGTATTGCATGTCATTTTATCATTTAAACTATCGACTGAGTTGTTAAGTAAATTTTCATTAATAACGACAGGTTAAAAAATAATGATAAATAATACTTTTTTTAGTCAATCTCAGAGCACCGATACAATTGTTTTTCCATTTTAATATATTCAAAAGCTACTCATTTATAAATAATAATATAGTATAGCAAAAACAAGCATGAAATGTTTTTGGATTCTTTTTTCATAATATAGGTTTATTTGAGAAAACTTTGAATTAATCTGTTTGAAAAAACTGACGAATTTTTTTTCATCTGAAAATCGGATTACATTAGAATCAAATGAACTCAATCGACATAATTTTGCTCAAGATAGTTCAGATGATTTTTCATTCTTTGTATCCATAATTGATCATCAGCTACTGTATTCGTTAACAATTTTGTTTAGAAATAAGATGAAAACCTATTTTCAGGGTTAGTTATCCGTTCAAGGGTGTATGGAGTGTGGGTGCGCCTCTTGCTTCCACCCACACGCTTGAGCAAAATGAATTTTAGAAATAACAAAACATGTCAAAACTCTTAATGATGAAATGATGTAGAACCATTTTGATACATGTTTTCCGCACTATCAGAAAGAATGTCATCTACAAGGATTCGTTTTTCATCTAAATACAAATTTTCTCAATAGAGATTGGCGGCAATTTAGGAAAAGATATACTTGTTCAAAAACGTCTACAGCATATAAAGAACTTGTTCTATTTGTTTGTATCATCTAGAAATAGGCATAGTTATCTATATTTAAAAAAGTCCTTTTCTTGTCTAATCGAAATAAATCTCAGCTGTTTAAAACAACAAAAGGTTTACTAACAAGATTTTATCAATGTGAATAATGAATTTTCTTATTTTTTCTTTCAAATAATATGAATTTTCGAGGATATTATTCTTATTAGAAAATTGATTATCAGGTAAAATATTTGCTGTTACTTTCATATTTTGAATAAGAATATGAACAAAATTATACTTAAGGTTAAAAAGCAACATGATTAAAACAGCGGACTTCATATTCAAAGGAAGATTTTTGTAGAACTCGTTGTGATAAATCAAGAGAACGACTTTTGCGTTCAGATATAACATAGAATAATCATTTTTTGTGAAATGTTACTAATATTAGGAAGGATTTTGAGGAGCACAGAACTTCACTACTCTTGGTTACAATCTCTTTCGATAATTCCTAATGATAGTTACAGAATGAAGACTACAATGGATATTTCTATGTCGTACATTCGAAAAGTTAAACAAAAATCACAATTTTTTGTAGCAACAATGGATTTATAATCTCTTTCAGGATTATTTAATAGAACGTTTCCAATCAGATGAGAGAGACACCATTATTTCAATGTACGACATTCCTCTAAAACCAAAAACCCATAGATTCGATAGATTCAATTAGATTTGCTGCAGAAATTTTCGAAAGAGAAAAGCAAGAATTACGATTCATAACGATTGAAATTAAAATTCTACAATTCATCAACTGACAGTATTGAACTTACTGAGAGATAATATTCTCTAGTTTACAATTTTGTCATATTACTAAACGAAAAAGATGCAAATAATGTTGATTCATTCTAATGTGTTACCATTTGATTCGATGACTGTAGCTAAAAAGCTAATTGAGTAACTCAATCGAATAAACAACATTCAAAGCTTCTATTGTATTTAGTTTCCGTGATTTACATGGCAACTTTTGTTTCACCAATTGATGACCTTCAGGCGAACACCAAGAATCAGCATCTCAAAATTTTTTCTCTTATCTGGCTCGATGCCGATACAGACCTTGAAGGGAATCGAAATGCAGAACAAAGATTGCGTGCTATCATTAATTGTCTTATGAAATTTCAAGATGTAAAAAAATGTCAAGAATATATTGAAAAACAATCAGAAAAAGCTCGACTCATAGTGGTTGTTAGTGGTCGGTTAGGAGAAGCAATAGTTCCTTCTATTCATGAACTTCGACAAGTTATATCAATTTATGTGTATTGCAAGGACAAAAAAAGTCATGAACAATGGGCTCGCAACTTTGCAAAAGTAAAATAAAGACAAAGGATTTTGATTTCGCTTTATGTTTTTTTTTATTGATAGGTAAAAGCAGTTGTCGTTGAACTTAATGAGCTTATCTCTCGGATTGAAACTGATCACAGAATGCAAAAAATCGTAGAAGAACCATTGTCAATTAATATTTTTACTACAAGTACTAATGCAAGTACATCAACAATAGGTACATCAACAATGGGTGTAAATGGTCAGTTTGTTTTCTCTCAAGTTTTAATTGATTGTCTTCAGCGGTTAGAATCCAATAAGACAGATAAAGAAGAGCTTATTCATCTTTGTAAACAGAAATATAAAAATGATGATTTTGAATTGAGTCACATTAATGAATTTGAAAATAGTTATTCATCTGACCAAGTTTTGTGGTGGTACACAAGAGAGTCATTCTTCTACAAGACTCTCAATGCTGCTCTACGTAAGCAAGATATTCATTTAATTTTTTTATTTCGTCAAATTATTTCGAATATGCATTGTCAATTGCAAAATAATCAAGCTAAAGATTCTCTACAGGTTTATCGAGGCCAAATGATGTCAAGTGATGAATTGAAAACTTTAAAACAATGCCTCGATCAATTTATATCAGTGAATTCATTTTTTTCCACCAGTATGGACAAACAGAGAGCTCTTACATTCTTGAATACTTCTAATGCTACAGACAGTTTAGAACGGGTATTGTTTGAAATCGATGCTGATCCTACAATGGCCACTACAAAACCATTCGCTGATATCAGTCCGTTTAGTCAATTTCCCAGAGAAGCAGAAATACTTTTTATGCTCGGTTCTATTTTTCGTTTGAAAAGCATCCATCGTAGTGGCAACAGTCAAGTATGGGTTATCCGAATGGTTTTATGTAGTGATAATGAACCCGAATTAAAATACGTTCTTATGAACATGAAACAACAATTTGGAAGTGGAAAAATGGATCTTCGAACATTAGGAAGACTACTATCGGAGATGAGTAAATTTGATTTGGCTGAAAAATATTTCATACGCTTGTTAGAACAACTTCCACCGAGTGACCCATTACTTTATGATTTGTATCAGGATCTTGGTAAACTCGCATCACAAGTCGGTAGCTTTGACAAGAGTATGGAATGGCGTCAAAAAGCTATTGCGCTGCAACAACAAAATGAGCTAGCAGGTAAGCAATCGTATGAGTAACTTCATCGAAAGCAGATCTTTTACGTAGAAATAGACGTCCTATATAAAAACTAATATTTCATATGGAAAAACGCAATTTTAAAAGTTTAGAAAAACAAAGCCCATAAAAAGTTATTAATGGTTTCATAAAAAAACCGTGATTTTTCCGTACTGAGGAACCATGATTTGAACTATCACTTCTCACTTATCTCCAAAGAATGTTGAAGTATTAGTTACAGTTGTCGTAAATATTTTATCTATCATCTCGTTCTGTTCATTGATATCCGTCGAACAATAATGACCTAAATGATTCCTTCTCATATTCTTTTATTAACATTATATTTAAACAAGTAGAGCTTTTTTCTAACTTTGAAGCTTTATGTTACAACTCGCATCGCTACGTGTCGTGCGATCGATTCATTATTCAGTTTTACACACTGTTGTATATTCTGTTGGTGTGGACGAGTTTTCTTTTCCCCATTCAGATTCAGACCAACACACCAACACTCAATATTATAGCAAAATTATGTCATGTTGAAGTTGTTTCAAATCAACTAGCAAAGAAATAACTATTTATTGATGGATGTTTTTCTCATTAAGATATATATAGTTAAAATTAATATTTTATTTCTGTTATGTAGATAAATATGCTCGTGACTGTGAATCACTAAAAACTTTACCCATTTTTTATGAAAATTTTAAATTCTGGTCGAACAACACGTACTATGTTTGGCGTAAGATTTAGATCGCATAAAATGATATTAGTGAATAGAATCGATGATAGACATGCTTTATAATAACTTGAAGCATTACTTCAATTTCGAGTTTACATTAAAAAAGTCACTCATAATAGGAACTCAAGGTTTAATCTGTCAATTTTTATAGCTGATGTTTTCGCGAAAATCGGATTTCATTTTAATTATCACTGTTTATATCAATATCTAAGAAAGAATACTGTAGTTTTTTCTTGTTTTATAGCTATTCTCTGCATTGATTAGACGACGTAATTGATACAAGTCAAAAACATACGCAAAGATCGAGATCAATCTAATAAACAAAAAAATAAATGCAACTTTTCCTAATTTCTTAGTCTTTTAATTCACCAACTTGTCTTCTGTTGCTTTCGTATTTGCTAGTTTCATTATTCTTGAATCAGTTTGATGGGATTATCTTCTTTTGAAATAGTTCTATAGATCTAATATATGTAGAGTTTGTATACAAGCAATTCGAAAATACTAAAAAACATGGCTAAATCAAGTTACACATAGCTTTTATTGACTCTAAGTCTATTTGGATCTAATAACTATTTCATCCTATTGAAATATAGTCAATTTTCTTTGTATAAGTTCTCATTTAAAGTCATGTTTCAAACTATCTTTATGTATCTCTACGGTCGATACTATTCATTAATATTAATTGAATATATTTAGATCATGATGTGTTTGCTGGTAGATCTGAAATAATTTCGATACGACATGTATATTAATCGTTTCGTATTCTAATTGGGATAATTTATTTGTGATATAAATGATATGTTTTTTGACCAGTTTTGGTTTCAACAAACCTCTCATAGTAGAAAATAATATCATTTACAGTTAGGAAGAATTTATAGAAATTAAAAGAAAAATGTATATGAAATCCAATATTTTCTTGAAGGGGTACTACAAAGCCAGCTGTTGAATATGTCAATCACTATTTTTAATTACTTCATGTAGATAGAAAATAAGTCGGGTGTGGGTGTGTGGGTGTGGGGTGTGGGTGTGGGTGGGTGTGGGTGTGGGTGTGGGTGTGTGGGTGTTTGTGGGTGTGGGTGTGGGTGTGGGTGTGTGGGTGTGGGTGTGGGTGTGGGTGTGGGTG